GGCATTTGTAAATTCTTACACTTCTATTGGTTCCCTCTGGCCACTGGGTGTATGACTCAGTGTGACATGCATGTGGTATTACTTGTCAGAGTGGAATTCTAAGACTTCCTCAAGACTTCGAACAGTTTAACTTGCGTGCTTTCTGGGCAGAGAAATGGTCCTGGGAACAGTTCTCCTTCCATCTGATAGTTATGGCAGAGATCAGGACACGTTGCTTTGCTGCCTGTGCAGTGAGGCCTCAGAAATTGCTCTACCCACCTTAACAGGTATGATTCAGAGATGATAGTTTGGGGAGGGTAGATAAGCACAGTAATAAAGTGTGAATGGAGATCTCAAAAAAAATGAATCGTATCTATTATTGTCTTTTTTCTTAGCCAGCTCTTTTGGCTAGAACTACATAATGTGTAAGATAATAGTTTTGGAATTCATTTTCAGAGTTCTGTGTGTGTGTGTGTGTGTGTTCATTCTGGTATTTTACAGTAGGACCTCAATAAGTACTTACTGAAAAGAAGAATAAATGAGTAATATGTAGTATTCTGTGGTCTTAAGATACATGTGGCTTGATATGAAGAACTTAAACTATTTTTTGAGAATTGTTAAATGATTTATCTAACTAACTTAAATAATTTTGAAGAGGTATTATAAAGTATTAGCTTATAGGAGAATATGCAGTTTGGTAAAGTAGAATTCTGGCAATATAAGAGTTTGTAAAATACTTGGCAATGCCTAAGCTGAAAATTTTGTATATTAATTTTTCTAATTTGTACCTGACAGACTTCTAATTAAATTGCTAAAAGCTATTGAGTGACTAATTGGTGAAAAGTGTTTTTAAATACAGTTAAACGTTAAAATTATCTCTGAATTTGAGTTTGAGTTTTAATCTGGATTTTAACTTGCTTAATCCTGATAATTTACTTTGTATAAGCTATTTTTTATGTTTAGCCTTATTTTTATTGTATCCTGCAAGTGTATCAGTAGAAAAAGGTAATAAAATTACCTTTTCTTAATACTCATAATGTATTTCTGCTACCTGTGTTTTATATTTTATATATGAAAATTAGTCTTTTGTCTCATATAAGTGTGATCTACCCTATAACAATGATTAATAAAAGATCTGTCTTCCTATCTAAGGTACCTAATGTGTAGTGGTCACTTCACATTGTTTAAAAGTAAGACATTGAATTTGGGAGGGTGCAGGACATTTGAATCATGTATATGTTTTTCTGTTTTAAACTGTTGAGGAAAGTGGTGTAGACTAGATCCACTGGATAGCACTGTAACATTTACTACTTGCTTTTCCTGTGGTTTTTTTCTTTGTCTTTTTTACCTTGTTCTCATTTAGTTTTGTAAGTCTTTATGATTTAATATATGTTCATCTTTGGCCTTAGGAAAATGTCAGGATGTTGTTTTGTCTTTGAAAAAATTTCCCTTTGTTTTGTGCTAGTGGTAGGATGGCGTTTCTGTGGATATCCTGTGCAGACGGATTGTTCGGAAAGTTGACCCTTAGTTTTCTGAGAACAAAAGATTGAGCAGGGCGGGGGGTGGGAGTAGGGGGGGGGGTGAGGTTGGAAGAAGAAGGAAGGAAATAAGATCTTTTGACTTGATCATAAAGGTTATAAAGCCAGAGATGGGGGGAAGGAGAGTGGGGAATAAAAAGGATTGTTTTCCATTATGGTTCTTTAGTACTTTGACTTCAAAAATTACTTTTATCCTGTTTTTATTATTTTGTATACTTGAGAAATGTACATTACTCTTTGGTCTGAATATAGGATGAGCAAAAGTAGGTTTATAGTTGTTCATATGGAAAATAATATAATAACTAATAATAATTAATAATTAATACAGGAATAAACTGTTTTACATACTCATAACTGTACTTACTTTTGCCTAACCTTGTATATCTTTTAAGTTTATATAAGATTGTGCCGTAGGTCTCATTCTCTTTTCTTCTTTTGTCAAATAACATGGCTTTTAAGAAGCTGACTTGCCTTTAACAATCCTCTTTTGAGCTTGTTGGGAGTTCTCTTCAGTACATGTGACTACATGTCAAAGACATGTTTTGCCCATTGACAGCCTGTCATTCTACTGTCTTCTGTGCAGATTTCATGCTCATCCAATTTTAATGCTTTCTTTTCTCTGAAACCTTTACTGACTTCAGAGCTTGGTGTTCTATTTCATCCTTTCAGAGCATCCTCTGAGTACATGATTCATTTATACAACATCTTTTTTGAGAGCCCCTTATATCCATGCACTAGTCTGGGTGCTTATAATTTTATCAGTGACCAAAGCAGACAGAAATCTCTGTCCTCATTAAAGTGGTATTCTGATTGAGGGAGTTAGCTTAATACACATGAATATAATAAAAAGTAAATTACATGTTTTGTGATATTAAGAGCTTTGAAGAGAAATACATTGGGAAGGGAGATATGGAAAATGCGTGAGTGTTGTCAGAAATAGATGTATTTTAAAATAAGACAGTCAAAAAATAGTGCACTGGGGGAGTAATATTTGAGTGAAGTGTCATGTGGAAGATATCTTGGGGAAGAATGGTTTAGGTAGGAGGTAAAGCCAGTACAGGGGTCCCAAGGCAGGAGAGTGCTGGGAAGTCCAAGGAGGGCCAGTGGTCAGAATGGGGCATATTAGGGGAGTAGGAGTAGGAAGATGAATTGGGTAAGATAAGTTGTAAAGGGCCTTGTAGGCCCTTGTTAGGACTTTGTTTTTTACTGTAAGATACAGGGAGCCATCTAAGATTTTGAGCGGAGGAGTAATACAATCTGATTTATGCTTTAAAAACTGGCGGATGTGTCCTAGCCGGTTTAGCTCAGGGGATTGAGTGTTTTGCCCCCACCCCCACCCCCGCGGGACTGAACAGCCCCGGGTTTGATTAAGTCCAGGGCATGTACCTTGGTTTCAGGCTTGATCCCTGGCCCTGGTTGGGGCACATACAGGAGGCAGCTAACTGATGTATCTCATGTTGGTGTTTTTCTTTCTGTGTCTCTTTCTCTCCTTTCCACTCTCAGTGGGAAAAGTATTCTAACAACAACAAAAAAAATCTGGCTGGTGTGTTGAGACTAGATAATAGAGAACTAATAGAGAACAAGGATAGAAGCATGGAGATTAGTTAGGATAGTCAAATAATCTAGGTAAGGGATAATGGTTGTGACACAGTGTAGTAGTGGAGGGGGTGAGAAATGAATAGATTCTCAATATTGAAATTAGTGCCAGTAGAATTTCCTGATGGTTTAGTTGTGATATGTGAGAACAATAAAGGAATTATGAATGATTCCAAGGTTTTTTTTTGTCATTCCCTTCCCATCACCAGCTTTATTGATATATTGACATACAATAATATGTAAGTTTAAGGTTTATGATGTGTTACCACCATAGCCTTAGGTAATACACACATTAAATCACATCATTACCATTTCTTTTTTTGTGGTGAAAACATTTAAGGTCTATTCTCTTAGTAACTTTCAAGTATATAGTACAGTATTATTAACTATAATCACTATGCTTGCTGTACATTAGACCCCCAGAACTTACTCATAGCTAGAAGTTTGTACTCAGGCTTTCAAGGTTTTGGTTGGCATTTCATAACCCAATGGAAGTTCTGCTAAAGTAGTTAATTTTTCATTAGAATAAATAATAACATAGAACATGTAGCCAATTTAAAGGATGCTTCATATAACATAGTGTTTTGTTTGTTTTTTAATTCTAATTCACTGTAACTCTGCCTTTAGACAAAGAGCTACACATTTGCTTCAAATTAACTGTCAGAACATCTGGACATATCTTTACCTTTGTCATAGTTATTCTAAAGGTAAAACAGAATTTAATTAGCTGTTGAATTTTAAATATACATTCCTTTTAAGAGGAGAAGGAATGTGATGAAGTGAAATAAACTCTAAAACTGTTAGAATTACAGATAAACCTACAACAGGAATTTGTCTATTTTATGTATAGACAGTGATGAAACCATTTTTAAAACCTTTATTAATGCTTTTTAATATTAAAATACATGCCGTTTTCTGTCGCTTACATTTTTGTGTAATTTGATCATTTATTCAATCAACAGTTACTAAATACATACTATCTAATAAAAGAGTACTATGCAAATTGACCATACCTCCACTATACCCACAAGCTATGCCTATCAACCAATCAGGAGCGAGTATGCAAATTAACTCAACCAAGATGGCTGTGGCCAGAGAGAGAAAGAGACTTGGGTTTCCGAGCAGCGGAGGAAGCCAAGCTTTCCACACATCCTGGTGGGCCCAGGCCTCCACTCAAGGCTACAAAGTTTCAATCATAGAAGATAAATAAATCCCAACAAAAATGGCTGCCGGCATAAATGGTTAGGGGCAATCAGAAAGGCAGGCAGGCAAGCAAGCAGTTGGGAGCCAGCAGTCCTGGATTGTGAGAGGGATGTCTGGTAGGATTGGGCCTAAATGGGCAGGCAGACATACCTCAAAGGGTCCCAGGCTGGGCTGAGGGACAAACACCCCTGTGCACGAATTTCGTGCACCAGCCCTCACATAACTCCTTGCTAGAAAGAGAAGATTCTTAGCCAAAGAGCACATTGTGAAGTTTGGGAGACAAACATGAATTGAGGATATAATAAAGATAAAGATAGAGGGTATTAATGCAGCAAATGCATGCTTTTTTTGAGAGCACCAGGAGGAGGAATCTGTGAGGCTTCCTAGGGGAGGTATTGGAGCTGTTATGAAATGAGTCTGAGTCAGCCAGTCAAGAAAAGGGTAGAATGAAACCACATTCCAGATAGACAGGATAGTGTGAGCAAGGGCAGAAAGGTAGCAAGCATCACAGTGTATGTTAAGATTTAAAATTTGAGATATAGAGTGGGTGGAGGAAAAGCTAGAGAAATAGGAGACCTGATCTTAAAGCCCTTGAAGGCGATATTAAAGAGATTTTAGCTTGATGGTAAACTATTGAGGGCTAATCTTAAAAGAGTGACATGGTCAAATTTTTGTTTTGAATAGATCACTTTGCCAGCTGTGTGGAGGATGGATTTGAGGGAGACAAGACTGGAGGCAGTAGTCCAGGTGAGAGATGATGGGGATTTGAACTAAGGCATTGGCTGTAGAGATGGAGAGGAGGAAATGGATTTGAAAAAGAAATAAAACCACCGATTAAAGGTTTATTCTCCTGTAAATATGATAAAACCAATTTTAAATTAAAAATGATTGGAGAAAAGTTAGTGGCATATAGCTGCTAAAAATAATTCTAGTTATTAAGAAAATTGCTATTAGAAGAAAAGAGTATTTTTTTGTATAATTGACCTGGACTGTAAAAACATGGTTTGTGTAGTATGACTAAACTTAGGAACCATAAAACTTTGAGGAAGAAACCAGGTCTTACAAGGCTGCCACCATTACACATGACAGAAACTCAATAAATGTACATTGTTGGTGATATTTTCTAGAGCATTCATTTAAGTGCCTATTTTACAAAAATGTATCACCAAGGAATAGAAAATAGGATAGAATTTTTTCGTTAAAACAATTGTAAACTATTATGGACAGTGTTGCATGGTAACACAAAGTTATTTTAGAGTGGCGAGAATATTGTATGAAACCAAAACATTTTTCTATTGTTTAACAGGTAATTTTAGGATATTTTTTTTTCTAGAAGCACTATTTTTAGACATAAATGGAGGGTCTGGATTTATACATGGAGGATCTGGATTTATACAATATGTACCTATTTTTAAAAATCTGTTATCTTTTTCACAAAATTTGTTTTATATGGACAGAGTAAGGGAAGGAGGGGAGTTTGGGAGCACTTATAAAACATAACTATTCTTTCTTAAAACTACCACTCCACCATAACAAAACATCCTGTATTTTTATAAAACAAATTGCCAGTTCTTTTTGAGATTTCTTCTTTCCATTTTGAGAAAAGTGCTTTTCCTGTTAATTTTAATATTCTTGACTGCATATAAAGCACGGTTAACTGTGTTCTTTTCATTTTGTGTTTTCTCTATCTTGTTACATCTTCAACAAGTAGACTTCTCTTGTGTTTAGGAGACATTTGTTCATTCTTCATTATTCTAAAACTATATAGTTATGTCCCTTCCTGGAGCCGTCCATCTGTGCCAGCAGCTAAAATACTGCCTACTTACTGAATTCAAATGAATTTCCAGCTGTGAAATTCAAGTGAACTTACTGTGAATTTCTTTTTCTTCTTATGTCTTTCAGAAGCCTTGCACCGCCCCTATGGCTGTGATGTTGAACCCCAAGCACTGAACGAGGCCATCAGGTGGAGCTCCAAGGAGAACTTGCTGGGAGCCACTGAGAGTGATCCTAATCTCTTCGTTGCACTTTATGATTTTGTAGCAAGTGGTGATAACACCCTGAGCATCACCAAAGGTAAGCTTCTAAGCAATATCCCTTACTCTTCAGTTTTCATTAGTGGATAGGAAATAAAAGGGTCTGTTCTAGATTCTGCCTTTAAAATTTGCTAGGTGATCTGGGCCCAGGTATTTTTGGTTCATAATTGTCTGTTTTTTAAAAGTGAGAATATGTTTTTCAATGATTTTAGAGAGGAGAGAGAGGAAGAGGGAGAGGTAGAGGGAGAGAGAGAAAAAAAAAAAAAAAAAGAAAGAAAGAAACATTAGTCAGTTGCCTTATGCATGTGCCCTGACCAGGGATTGAACCTGAAACCTGGGTATGTAACCTGACTGGGAATTGAACCCCAGACTCTTCAGTGCATAGGGTGTAGCTCTAACCGCTTAGACACCAGCCGGGGTGTAATTGTTTTTTTTAACCTGTGTATGAAGAAATGCCATGTTGTCTACTTTATAGGCTTATTAAGGATAAAATGAGATCATCTTTTAGAAAAAACACCACACAGTATACACATAAACTTTCCTCATTCTCACAATTTGTATTATATGTAATATGGCAGCATTTGTCTGCCTCAGAGGGTTCACTGTATATCTCTTCTCGTTGATTGAATCATGTTGTCCATGACTGGCTGCCTGTCTGAGAACTGTTTGTTATCAGTTAGCAATGAGATTAAAAACTTGTACCCAAAGTGCAAACCAACTACATTACCAAGTACACTATTATTTAGTTCAACTGACATTTCTTTTCTTTTTCTTTTTTTTTTTTTTTGAGCAAGATTTTGGGCATGAAGAAAGTAGTCTAGTGATTCACAGTTTGGCATTAGCCTCTTAAATTATTGTGGACTTGCTCTGAGCAGCACTGGCCTAGGCATTTTATTTCTCATTTTTGTTTATATGGATCAGTGAAAAGAACAGTACCAAGGGTTTCTATTGTAGTAATATTCTCAGATTAATTTATTTCAGTAGTAAATGCTTATAAAAGGGAACACTAAGAACATGACCAAATAAAATCATCCATTATTGTTTTTTTGAACAAGATAGGAAATATGAAACTTTTATGAGAATGAAATATAAGTATGGAGATTGTCATTGTGTATATGAATTGGATTGCTAATTTGCGTAAATTTGTTCTTACCTTTTGAACCTACTGGGAGAAAATACATTTCAGGATAATTTTTCACTCCACAAAACTGTCACATTAATTATTTGTCAAACATGCCTTTTAAAATATATATGTATTTGTTGATTTTAGAGAGGAAGGGAGAGGGAGAGAGAGTAGAAACATCAATGATGAGACAGAATCATTGATTGGCTGCCTCTTGGGTCTCCTAATGGGGGTTGAGCCTGCAGCCCAGGTGTGTGCCCTGACCAGGAATAGAACCGTGACCTCCTGGTTTATGGTTGACTCTCAACCACTGAGTCATGCCATCTGGGCCAAACATATTCTTTTTATTCGTAAGCTTCAGAATGGGATAGGTATTAATTGGGAGTGGACATACCAAATTAAGAACATAAGCCTCCATTCAAGGAATGTTACCTTTAAATAAAATTTTTACATCAGTTTTTTAAATTTGACCAGATTCATCAAACGCAGAAATATTAAAAACTGAGTTTCTCACCCTAGCTGGTTTGGGTCAGTAGATAGAGCATTAGTCTACAGACTGAAGGGCCCAGGTTTGATTTGGGCCAAAGGCACATGTCCGAATTGCGGGCTCAATCCCCAATAGGGTGCATGTACAAGGCAGCCAATCAATGATTCTCTCTCATCATTGATGTTAGTATCTCTTTTCCCCTTCTCCCTTCCTCTCTGAAATAAATAAAAATATTTTTAAAAAACACACACAAAAAACAACAACTAAGTTTCTCAACTGGGATATAAATATGTCCCAATGTGAATGTGATGGCATGTGTACATGAGCCAGGAGGTTCTAAAGGCACAGGAAAAATAAAGTGCATTATCTCCTCGTGTCAATTTACTTTTTTTGGTTAGTGTTTTTGGGTAGATTTTGGGTAGTTTTGGGGATGGATGTATGAGAAATGGTTGTTTATGCATTGGGAAGAAAGTTTTAGGATAAAACAAAGGACTTCATATAAATTTTATTCTTGTGGTTGTCTTTTTGAGCTACAATAGACCCTTATACCTTTACTGATACTTCAGTGGAGAAGTTTGTGAAGCTGTGACTCAGAACATTTTTTCCTAGATATAATTTGCATGTCAGTTATTTCCCAAGATAGTTCAGTCACTGAGGAAACATTGATAAAGTTTATTGAGTCTTCAGTTACCAGTTGTGGCAACCACTAGTGTACAGCTCAAGGAATAGGATTCCCTTTACCTTATGGCCAGCAGGGATTTTTCATAAAACCTATGAAATGCCAGATTTTTATATCAGATCCTTATTATAAAATAATGTTATGCTAAATCTTTTTAATTATTTTAAATATAAGAAAATATATTTAAAAAATAAAATAATTATTTTACTTTCTTTTTTTGTTGTTGTTGAAGATAATAATTTGCTTGAAGTAAGAAACAAAGTTCTACCAGGATTCCTCTGTCAATAGAGTAATGCTTTTCCCATAGCTCATACCCCTGTCAGTTTCCTTCCAGAATAGAAAATTCTTCTCCCAACTGCCAAAAAGAGGGGGAATCAGACAAAAACCTAGGGTGTTTCACCGTATCCTAATTTGATTACCTATCATTACCAGTTCTTTATAAGGAAGCAATAATAATATGCTTAAATACTTAGTGATTTACTTTTTCCACTTCTCATGGAGTAAGAGAGAATAGCTACCCGAGCAAGTTTTATTTTGTTTTTCTAGCAGTACTAAGATTTTTTTTCCCTGTGCATTTCCACCACCACACTCCTATTTATACATTTGTATATTTTTTATGTATAAAATGCAAATGAGTCCATACTCCTGTACTGTATTTTTTCTCACTGAATGTTTCATATCCAGGTATGTTGGGTGAGATAGTAAGAGTCAATAGAAAGTTATCCTGTGATAGACATTTCTATAAATCACTGAAAAAAGTTATATAACTATCATAACACTGATTCTGAGTTTTTCCTCTAATAGCCTTTGCCTGATAACTGGATCATATGCTCTTGATTGATTGGGCTTTTTCCTGCTTTCTGATAGTGAGAAGTGGGTGTGAACTCTATAGAAAGGCTTGCATCTCTCAGAGGTAGGGGCCTAAATTGGAAGGATTATTTAGGTGGTCAGTTATTACTAATGCTATATCTTTTGCTTTCCCCATCTTGTCCATGCTGCAAGTGCAGGGGCAAGGTATATGTTGCTGGAGTCTGAAGTTGATGTTTACAACTTTAATGGAGCAATCAAGTACACGGAAGTCATTAGCAAAGATACTTGGAGTAACTTGAGTTTTGGGTTCCCACATCAGACTCAGCTTCCTTTCCCACACACTAAATTTAGAGGAATGGATAGGAGTGACTCATTCTTCGTGGGGAAACTGGGAAACTATATCTATTTAAAACTTGAGTCCTGGAAAAGATTGTGCTTTGAGAGTCCTCACTACTCACCTCCCTTTCCCCAAACAATTTTCTTCCTGAAAACATTGCTGAAAGCTCTGTGGTCAGTGCTTTTGTTTTTTACATTGATGGTTTTGTTGCCTTGGTGCCATGTGGAATTTAGAAGTGATGTTGTTTCCCATAGCTTATCCTTAATCCTGGAGTGCTTGTTAACATTGAACCATATATAAGATACATTCCTTGACTAACTGTTTCGGGGAGAAAAAAATGAACAAAGAAATGTTTTTGAAGGGTGAGACTATGTCATTTTCCAGCTATTTGAGTAATCTTTTTATCTTTGTATACATGTATACATGGAGTTTTCTAAAGACATTTTTAGTTGGTATAAAAACCTTTGAAAACCTGTAGTAAATGCCAAAATGCCACTTTTAACTATGCTTCTTTTGTTGAAGCTACAAGCTAAAGAGATCAGTGGAGGATATGATGAACAGCCAAGTTTGTTTTTATTATTATTTTTAAAAAAATGTATTTTATTGATTTTTTACAGAGAGGAAGGGAGAGAGATAGAGAGCTAGAAACGTTGTTGAGAGAGTAACATCAACCAGCTGCCTCTTGCACACCCCCTACTGGCGATGTGCCTGCAACCAAGGTACATGCCCTTGACCGGAATCGAACCCGGGACCTTTTATTCTGCAGACCGACGCTCTACCACTGAGCCAAACCGGTTTCGGCTGTTTTTATTATTATTTTTAAAGTATTTTTATTGATTTCAGAGAGAGGAAGGGAGAGAGAGATAGAAACATCAGTGATGAGACAGAATCACTGATTGGCTGTCTCCTGGGCATGTGCCCTTTTTTTACTGGACTCGAACCTGGGACCTTGAAGTCTGCAGGCTGGCCCTCTATCCACAGAGCCAGAGTAGCTAGGGCTGTTTCCATTAATTTAAAAAAAGCATTTGTTGCATAAAAGTTCCTATTTATGAATTTAAAGTTTGATAATAGATTGCTTGTGAGACCGTGTTAACATCTCTTTCATTCTGTGTTAACCTTATGACTAGGTGAAAAGCTTCGAGTCCTTGGTTACAATCAGAATGGTGAGTGGAGTGAAGTTCGCTCTAAGAATGGCCAAGGTTGGGTGCCAAGCAACTACATCACCCCAGTAAACAGTCTGGAAAAACATTCCTGGTACCACGGACCTGTGTCCCGCAGTGCAGCTGAGTATCTGCTCAGCAGTTTAATCAATGGCAGTTTCCTGGTGCGAGAAAGTGAGAGCAGCCCCGGGCAGCTGTCCATTTCGCTCAGGTACGAGGGGCGTGTGTATCACTACAGGATCAATACCACCACAGATGGCAAGGTAAGACTGGCGACCACCTTTAGGTGTGGATGGTCTGCTCCTTAGAAATTATATTCAGAATGACTGAAGAATATAGTTTTTATGTTTGATGAAAGAAAATAGTCACTGATGTTAGTCTGGCATGTTAAAGAGAGCTTCTTTCAAAAGAATATGGTAATGGAAATTTAAAACAGTATTATAATAGAAGTTTAGTGAACTAAATGCGAAGAAGAATGAAGGAAATTGCTGGATAAGTTAGCTGTTCTAAACATTGTTAATATGTAAATAGACATACTAAGTATACCGGTTAATAATGTGGATTTTTTTTTCAATAGATGAAATTACACATATGTTGATATATATGTGATTTGATATGTATGCTATTTTGTTGTATTGACAAAAAGCTTCAAAACTTCATATGTCAAATTTGCTGAAAGAGTTAACATCATAGATATTTTTACACTTAAAAATGTCAAATTTCGGGGCCAAAAAAGCATTGTGGAAAGTTATAATTCATTACATTATTTTGAAGAAAAGTGCTGCTGAATACGTCGGGAAGCTTATGGGGAACATGCTCCATCTCAGGATACTTGAGAACGCTGATTTAAATGCTTTAAAGGTGATGATTTTGATGTGAAAGACAACGTCCAGGCCAACCAAAAAAGTTTGAAGACCAACAATTACAAGCATTATTGGATGAAGATGCATGACAAATTTAAAAACAACTTGCAGAAAAATTACATGTTGCTCAGCAAACAATTTCCAATTGTTTACAAGCAACGGGAAATATTTTAAAGGAAGGAAAATGGGTGCCATATCAACTGAACAAAAGACAAATGGAAACCTGAAAAGTTATCAGTAAAATGTTGCTTTAGCAGCACAAAAAAAAGTCTTTTTTGCATGGAATTGTGACTGGCAATGATAAGTGGATTTATTTTGAGAATCCAAATGCACACAATCATGGGTTGATCCAGGTCAACCATCAACATCAACTGCAAGGCCAAATTGCTTCAGAAAGAAGACAATGCTCTGTGTTTGGTGGGATCAGGAAAGTATGGTGTATTATGAGCTTCTAAAACCAGGTGAAACCGTTCATACTGATCTGCTACAGACAACAAATAATCACTTTAAACCATGCTTTGATCATGAAACAACCAGCATGTTCAAGAAGTCACGGCAAAGTAATTTTTGCTTCATGATGATGCACCATCACACACTTCAAAACCTGTTAAAGACACTTTAAAAGACCTTGCCTGGGAAGTAGTAACCCACCCGCCATTTTCACCAGACCTTGCTCCTTCAGATTACCACTTGTTCCAATCAATGGCACACGCACTTTCTGAGCAGCACTTTAAAATGTACAAAGAAGTGGAAAATTGGGTTTCTGAATGGTTTGCTTCAAAACAAGAAAAGTTCTATTGGGAAGGTATCCACAAATTACCTGAAAGATGGGGAAATGTGTGGCTAGTGATGGACATTACTTTGAATAAAGCACTTGTGATGTTTCTCTTGATATTATTGTGTTTTCTTTGATTACAAAATCCGCTATTAGTAACGGTACACCTAGTACACCTAATGCATTGTATAGAATTGATTTACTTTTTAAATACATTTTTGTTGATTTCAGAGAGGAAGGGAGAGATAGAAACATTAGTGATGAGAGGGAATCATTGATTGGCTGCCTCCTGCATGTTGGATGGAGCCTGCAACCCAGGCATGTACCCTTGACTGGAACCTGGGAACCTTCGGTCTGCAGGCCAAAGCTCTATCCACTGATCTAAACGGGCAAGGGCTGTATAGTATTTTATAAGTTAAATCTTATATCTGAAAATTATAATAAACTCTACAAGGAAGTTAACAGAGGAAGAATTTAGGCTTCTAAGACTGGTGTTGATTATATATGGCTAAGTGACCAACTTTCCATCTGACTGACCGACTGACTGACTGACGGCTGGTACATATGTCGTGCATTGGCGATTTAAAAATAAATGTTGACTCGCACATGTGCGGTGCATATAAAGCTCTAGTTGGTGCTAATTGCATGCGTGTTTTAATTTTATAATACTATATTATATATACTATTTTGACCTATAATTTTTGTAGTAACGTAATTACCACATGAATCCTTCTTTTAATTAATTTCCTTTCAATGTGCACGTATCTGCACCAGGCCACTAGTGATAATGTAAGTAGATGAATCACTTAGCAGTGTACATGTTGGAAAGACCAACCAGTTTAGAATGGTTGTGTTAGATTGGAACGATTTCTCACTTTATAAATTGTAAAGCATAGGCTTATGTTAGTTCCTCTATTGAACAGTAAATGTAAATTGAATCATTTCTTCCATTCTTTTCCTCTCGGGGATATGCATACAGGGGAAAAGCACAGGCTTTAGAGCAAGAAGAACCTGGTTTGTTGTATAATTCCACCGTTTATTTATAACTTTGTGATCTGACATAAGCCTCAGTTTCCCATTTCACTTTATTGCATTTTTGTGAAGATTAAATGAAATAATTTTCATAAAGCATAAAGGAGGAAATAAGAAAATTATGAATTCTCTTTCTCTTGCACACTATCTCATATTGTCTCTTGATGAAACCAAATAGAATCAGATAAGTAATAATATACAAGAGACAGCTCAACAGAAGTGAGTGCATATGTGTACAGAAGGCATGCACAAGAATGTTCATAGTAGTGTCAGTTGTAATAACTCTAAACTAGACTCTCCTAACAATAGTAGAATAAACTAATAAATTGCAAATTGCAGTCTCATATAACAACAAAAATGAACATAGAACATACACACTTCAGGAAAACTATGGCCTGCCAGCTGCCTGCTTTTGTAAATAAAATTTTATTGGAATATAGCCACACCCATTTGTTTATGTATTGTCCGTGGCTGCTTTTTCATTATTACAGCAAATTTGAGTAGTTTCAACAGAGATGCTATGGCCACAAGCCTAAAATTTTTTTTTGTCTGGCTCTTCACAGAAAAGTTTGTTGATCCCGGCCATAGAGAAACCTCACACATATAAAATGGAGCGAAAGGGATCAGTGGTTGCCTGGGGAAGGGATGGGGCAGTGGGAATGACTGCTAGGGGTGTGGGTTTCTTTGTGTGGGGTGATGAAAACATTTTAGAATTAAATAGTGGTGACGGTTGGACAGCCTTGTTGAATATACTAAAACCACTGAATTGTACACTTGAAAATGGTGAATTTTATGGTATGTGAATTACATCACAATAAAAAAGCAATCTAGACATTTTATAAACATAATCTTGAATAAATAGACAATATTTTTTTTTACTATATTAACATTTTAATGCCATAAAATACTATGTAAATCTCTTAAAATTCTGACATTCCATAGTCAGTATTAGACATCCTAGTCTTACTATGTTTTACTTCTGCCTTAAGATTTAAGTTTCTTAAATGTATTTTGCCTGAATTAAGTATTAATTTGATGAAAAGTTCTTTTGAAATCATCACTTAGTGGGTTCTAATAAATTAAAAATTAAACTTGAAAAAAAATTGAGTGAAAGAAAACAGGTAATCTAAGGTGCTAGAAGTCAGCAAGGTATATAGATGGGAGGGCACAGGAGAAGGTGCTGGGGTGCTGGTGATGCTAAAATGCTTGGTGTGGCAAATGTGAGTTCATTTTATAAAAATCAGTAATTCTCCATTTATTGTACATTTTTCTGTTTACAATAAGGCCCAAAGACTGCTATTTTACTTTACACTTACTTCCTATCACAGATTAACTACTGTTTTGTTAATAGACCTTCTAAAATTAAATTGTGACTCTTTTTTAGTAAATGGTTTAGACACTTAAAAGCAAATCCTATAGTTAAATAAAAATTATAACATATTTAATATCCTTGCTCAACCAGAAAAATCGAAACAGTGGTTTTCAAGTTAAGTTCTGTGAAAGATTCTGAGGGAGTATTTGATAAACTCACAGGAGGTCGAGTTCCCTCTTGCCTACTTTAATCAGAGAATCTCTGCCTTTATATTTGTATACTGTGGTTGAATTTCATGCTTAAAAAATACTTGAGGACCAATGATCTTGATGATCTAGAAAGATATCTTTGAAGTTTTTTCCCCAAGACTAGAGCTAATTTAGTAAGCATAGGAAAAGTTGGTTAAAAGTAAGATGAAATTGAAATTCTGTTATCCCTTATCATCATCATTTAATTCTTTGATTTACCTCAATAAGATAACCTTTTAGCTCTATGCCTTCAGATCAATCAAAAAATGGGCTTTTAAAAAAATTTTCTGGCCCTGGCTGCGTGGCTCAGTTAATTGGAGCATTGTCCTGTACACCAAAGGTTGTGGGTTCAATTCCTAGTCAGGGCACATACCTAGGTTGCAATTTCGGTCCCTGGTTGGGCGCATGCAGGAGGCAACTAATTGATATTTCTCTCTCCCTCTCCCTTCACCTCTAAAAAAAAAGTGAATAAACATTTCCTTGGGTGAGGATTAAAATTTTTTTTTCTGATCTCTCTTCAAGTTGGCTTAGCTTTTCTCCTGCCTTTCTCACCAGGTATACGTGACCGCCGAGAGCCGCTTCAGCACCTTGGCAGAGCTTGTCCACCATCACTCCACAGTGGCTGATGGGCTGGTGACCACATTGCACTACCCCGCACCCAAGTGTAACAAGCCTACAGTTTACGGTGTGTCCCCCATCCATGACAAATGGGAAATGGAACGGACAGATATTACCATGAAGCACAAGCTTGGGGGTGGTCAGTATGGAGAGGTTTACGTTGGCGTCTGGAAGAAATACAGCCTGACGGTTGCTGTGAAAACATTGAAGGTGGGTTGCTGAGAATGACAGTGCTCAGGCATCTTTTTCTTCTGTGTTCACTTACTTGGAAATACCAGCATGCCCATCTTTAACTTTGGAACGCTTTCCACCCACTGGTGTCACACACATCAGCAAATGGTAATGATCAACCCTAGTGCCTTCGCTGACAGTACAGAGGAAGATTATTCATTGCAGTGCAGTGAAACCCACATGTGGGGAATGTTTATCTTTGGAGGCTGTTGATGGAGATCTTAGTGGGAGGTTAGAAGCAAATTACTAGTTATAAAGCAAAAGAGCTTGTTTTGCTTCCTCAGCACGACCCCTGCTGGACAGAATTCTTCATGCATTGTTTGAGGATCATGGGTGCTCTTTCTGGCTTGCTCTTACTGCCCCTTTACCCTCCCTCCCTATCTCTCTCCACCTCTCTCCCAAGAGAATAGACTCCTACTTCTTGTTCTTAATATTCATAGAATTCTTTTTCCCTGCCGCCAGCTCTCCTTTTTAAGCATCCTATCAAATTGCAGGGTTTTCACTCATCCCGTTCTCTGAAGATTCTCCCGTGTGCCTCAGTGGCTCTGCCACATTACTCATCAGGGCTGCTCTTCTGCTATGAGTTGTAGTCGGTTCTTTTCAGCAAGCATTTATTAGGCATATTTTTTTAGTATGAATATTTAAGGCCTTGCAAGCATGCATTGCTCCTTAAAGAATTTGTCAGGAAAACAAACATATAAACAGCTAACTGTTCTGTCTCCTCTTTCAAAGCTGAGATGTCTTGGGACATAAACTGTCAGAGAACTGAGTTATCCAGGCTTCCCATGTGTGTTTCAGCTGTGATAGGATGTGATTGCTGAATTTTGCTCATCCTAATTTTTACTCATTTCAGATACTGGATAAATTTAATTTATTTCTTAACACCTTAAGCGCCCAGACTGTTTTGTCTTCCAGATGGAAAGTACAATATCAGTCACCGGTGACTGGGCGCTGTAGAGCATATTAGATTATGATAAGATTCTCCATGTATATGTTAAAATATTCAAAAGATGCTGTTTTTAAAAATATATTTTATTGTTTTTTTTTTATAGAGAGGGATAGAGAGTTAGAAACATCGATGAGAGAGAATCATCAATCAGCTGCCTCCTTCACACCCCACACAGGGAACGTGCCGCAACCAAGGTACATACCCTTGACTGGAATCGACCTTTCAGTCCGCAGGCTGACACTATCCGCTGAGCCAAACCGGTTTTTGGCAAAAGATGCCATTTTTTAAAGCTGAAGTTTTTCACTTTGGCCAGTTCTTAGTGGTTAGACTATCAGTCTGCGCTCTAAAGGCTCATGGGTTTGATTCCCAGTCAATCCAGGGCATGTACCTGGGTTGAGGGTTTGATCCGAGGCCCCGGTTGTGTGCATGTAGGAGGCAACTAATTTATGTCTTTCTCTCACATCAGTGTTTCTCTCTCCCACTCCTCCCTCCTTTTCCCTCCCTTTCACCCTCTAAAAATCAATTGAAAAAATATCCTCAGTAAAGATTAACAACAAAATACCCAAATAAAAGCTGAAGTTTTAGGATTGTGAGTTGACTCAAATAGTTAAGATGGGAGTTCACTCTGAAATGAAAAACAAAACAAAACACATTTTTTTTTATAAAGAGATGGGGGTTCATTCCTCTTTCTTTTTATTGTTCCCCCTTTTCCAGGAAGATACCATGGAGGTGGAGGAGTTCCTGAAAGAAGCTGCAGTGATGAAGGAAATCAAGCATCCTAATCTGGTACAGCTATTAGGTGAGGAAGCTTGCCTAGACCAAAGGTTTCCTCAAAGCTGCTTGTCCCCCAACACCCCATTATCTCCAAATCCTCCCTTAAATCATGGTGAAAGCTCCAAGTGTGAATCTACTTCAATAAATGGTTGTTATTTATTTATTTTTTTTAATATATTTTATTGATTTTTTACAGAGAGGAAGGGAGAGGGATAGAGAGTTAGAAACATCGACGAGAGAGAATCCTCGATCAGCTGCCTCTTGCACACCCCCCACTGGGGATGTGCCCTCAACCAAGGTACATACCCTTGACCAGAATAGAACCTGGGACCTTTGAGTCCACAGGCTGATGCTCTATCCACTGAGCCAAACCGGTTTTCGGCCAATAAATGGTGGTTATTTTAATCAGCAGGCTCTGTGTTTAAAAGTTGCCTAAGAAACAGTGGCCTGGATTGATTGCAATGTGTAAAACTACCCAGTTTGTGGTGATTGCCCCAGATTCAAAGTTCCAGAATCATTTAAAATTGTTCTAAATAAAAAACTACCATAAGCTCTGGCCATTTTTTCTCAGTGGTTAGAGCAGTGGTTCTCAACCTTTCTAATGCTGCAACCCATTAATACAGTCCCTCATGCTGTGGTGACCCCCCACCTGTGCATTGAGAACCACTAGCAAGATTGCCTAAGAGCATCAGAAAACATTACGATTCATAACAGTAGCAAAATTACAGTTATGAATTTTTATTTCATAAAATATAGCAATGAAAATAATTTTATGGTTAGGGGTCACCACAACATGAGGAACTGTATTAAAGGGACACAGCGTTAAAAAGAAACTACTGGGTTAGAGCATTGGCCCTCGGACTGAAGAGTTGAGGGTTTGATTCCGGTCAAGGGCATGTACTTGGTTTATAGGCTTGATCCCTGCCCCAATTTTGGACATGTGTGGGAGGCAACCAATTGATGTGTTTCTCTCACTTCAATGTTTTTCTCTCTCTTTGTTTCTCCCCCTCCATTCCACTCTCTTTAAAAAAATCAATGGAAAAAAAAATACCCTTGGGTGAGGATTAACAAAAATAAAAATAATCATAATTTTACAAAATAGACACTTAACAAAGTACTATTGAAAAGAAGCAGATTAAAAATTGTGGTCACACTCATCAGTTTACCTTGATGATCTGAAAATGCTATGTTCTGTTAGATTTATTTCTCATCTGTTCAGGTCACAAAGAAGTCTGTGTCTGAAACCCCTTTTCTTTTCAAAACAGGACCATGTTCTTTGGGTGTTCAAATTGAGCCCAACTATCCCAGAGGAAATAGTTTCTTGTTGATTCTTTATACAGAATCTGCCATGTATTTGACGATGGAAACAATTATATATATATTTTTTTACAAAGCATTATTTCAGGCTGGGCTAATACAGTCTTCAACATATGCATAGTCGTGGTTATTTTAGATAAGCTTCATTAGCACCCAGTGGATAATGGGAATCATGGGCCTATATAGAACTCGAGAAATTTTGGTCTTGTGACCCCTTATGGAATTAATACAAGTAACTCTGCTTTTGCCCTCAGCAAATACTCAAGTGCATATGAATTTCCAGAATTATTAAGTTGTAATGGAAGTAGAAACTTCCTTATCAACCATCCTCTTAACTTGGCTATCTTATTATTAGAGAATGTGATAGCAAGAAGAAAAAAGATTACTGCCAAACAAGATTTTTAAAAATTATTGATTAATTTTGCCAAAGTTGTTGGGAATGTATGAGTATATACTAACAAAACAAGCTGTATTCTTGAATTCTCAGGTGTGTGTACTTTGGAGCCACCATTTTACATTGTGACGGAATACATGCCATATGGGAACCTCCTTGATTACCTCCGAGAATGCAACCGAGAAGAGGTAACTGCAGTTGTACTGCTTTACATGGCCACGCAGATCTCTTCTGCAATGGAGTATTTAGAGAAGAAGAATTTCATCCATAGGTGTGTAAATCCTGTCTATTGTCTGTGATAACCATGAAGCTACCTTACTTGTCCTGTAAATAAAGGGAAGAAGGCAAGAACCTCTCTAGAAATTTCCAAATGACTGAGGAAAGGGATTTTCCCATTCAAGGGCCCATTATGATGTCATTCCCAACTTATAAACCTATGTACTCTGATAATGTTAATGAGAGGCCTTTGCTTTTCTCAAAACGGGTCTTTATTTTGCCCAGGACTATATTCAATAGCCTTTTGCTCCATCTAGTAGCTTATTTAAAAAATAGCTTTCTGTCTTAGTAAAGAACTTCAAATTTGTAGGAAAGTATCTGTTGCTCACCTCTAAAACCTATGCCAATGTGCAGTTGACTCTTTATTATAAGAATACAGTTTATAATACATATATAGCTAACAGTAATTAGCTGCTTTAATAGCTAAGTTTTTGGTGAGTCAGAAGTATACATAGATTTTTGGCTGTGTGTGTGTGGGGGGTGGTTACCTCTCACCCCTGCATCAAGTGTCAACTGTACTTATGAATAGGAACCCATTTTCTGAAGCCTGCTTTATTTCAGCATTGTATAACTGCCTCTTGATAAGTACCCTACAAGTGATACATAATTAGTGATTTTCTACCATGTTAGTTATACCATAAAAACCTGCCATATCTGTTAAGCACTTGTCTACTCTGCTTGAGGCACAAAGAACTGAGAATAGAGCATTCACGGTCACTTTCTACCTCGTCTGAATAGAATCACATTAGGGTTGGTTCTCTTTCCTGCAGAGATCTTGCAGCCCGGAACTGCCTAGTGGGAGAAAACCATGTGGTAAAAGTGGCTGACTTCGGCTTAAGTAGATTGATGACTGGAGATACCTACACTGCTCATGCTGGAGCCAAGTTTCCTATTAAGTGGACAGCACCAGAGAGTCTTGCCTACAATACCTTCTCAATTAAATCTGATGTCTGGGGTAAGGTTGGAAGGGGCTTTTTTCTGGATGTTATTTTGTTTATAAATGCTCTTAATTCTATAGAGCTTATTTTTTACATGATCACTATCCTCTGTCTTTACCCCCACCTCTTCAATCATTCAGCAAGCATTTATTACATACCTGTTATCGGGCATTGTGCTAGGTGCTTAGCATAGAAAGAAGTGTAAAGAAGAAAATAAAAAGTCCTGCTTCAAAGAGCTCACAGTCTAGAATCTCTTTGCCCTGGAGTTCTGAGGATCCTTTAAAGCTCCCTGTTTTCCACATTAGGTTTTAGTGCTCGTTTCCAGAACGCTGGGGGACACAGAATGGCATCCTCTTTTCAAGAAATACATGCTGAAGTTTTAGCTAGGGTTATCCTGGTAACTGGTAACTACCGCCATGAATTAGTACAAGCCCAGTGGACTGAACCTCTCTGGAAATTTGGATTGTGGGCCAATAGAAATAATTGTAGGATTCTAAGTCACTCTTTACCAGAAATCTCAAACTCGGAAATAACCTGTGACAAAATCAAGCAAATTCTTTTTTCCACTGTGAATTTTATCTGATTTCAAATGAGTTCATTTTTATATTTACTCCTCTAATATTAGCTAACATAAAAACTGCAAACTCATTAATTAGATCATAGATTATTCTAAAAATAGTTTGATTATGCCCCAGACTACTTATATGGTCATAGTTTAATTTCCCTTTATTATAGTATAGGATGTCTAAATTAAAAGTGGGAAATATAAAGGAAGCCTTCTTTATATTTCAGGTTATAGCTCAAATGTTCCCATGATAGTTATCTTAGGAGGAATACTTTTGGTAATTGAATATTATCCAGAATTTGAAAGATAATTATCTAGTGGTATAAAATAATCAGAGAAGAAACATTAAGCTCCTTTTTCTTGTCCCTTATGCAGCTTTTGGGGTGCTGCTGTGGGAGATTGCTACCTACGGAATGTCACCATATCCTGGCATTGACCTGTCTCAGGTCTATGATCTGCTAGAAAAGGGCTATCGAATGGAACAGCCTGAAGGATGCCCCCCTAAGGTTTATGAACTTATGAGAGCATGTGAGTATTTTTGCATATATTAATTTTGAGTGTATGAGTGAGCAATTTGGGATGATTAGTAAAATTAGGAACATTTTTCCTCAATGTTGTTAGATTGAATCTAACCACATGGCATATAAAGAGTTGGTCATTGATTAGCCAGTTGGCATGTCATATGCTATACCATTGAGTCTTACTGAATCCTAAGAGTCATTGTCCATGGCTGAAATGTTGAGTCAGTTTCCCAGAAACACTTGCACATTTAATCTATATTATGAAAGGCCAGTGGCCATAATACCATAACGACCAAATAACTGGTCACCAGGAGGTGCATGGATAACCTCTCAGATGCTCCCCCTGCCTTCACCCCCAGAGTGGTGGCAGCATCAGCGGAGCGTCCACGTAGCATGCGAGGCTTCACAGGGCAGCAGACAAGGCCCCGATGGCTGGCTAGGCCCAGGGGACCCCACACATGCACGATTTTAATTGTGCGCTGGGCCGCTAGTGGGATAGTGAGAGCCCTGGCCTGTATAGGTCAGTTGGTTAGGTCATTGTCCTGTACACCAGAGGTGGCAGGCTCGATTCCCAGTAAGCACATACCCAGGTTGTGGGTTCGATTCCCATTCATGTGGGAGCCAGCCAGTTGATGTTTCTCCCCCCCTCCCCCTCCCACACACACTTCTCTCTTCCTATCTCTAAAAGTCAAGATATTTTAAAAAATAGAATAATAATAAATTGGGTTTCAAGTTTAGGTAGGAAAAATGATTGAAAATTACTAGATGAAAATGATTGCTAAAAACTGGGAAGAATATATGCACGTAACCTCAGTGATGAATAAACAAAGCATCTGACTCCTTGAAGATGCGAAGGTGGTAGTAAAGTGCAGTTGTGTGTGAGCATAAATCTTATTTTCTCATTGAGCATTGGCATTGCCTGCTGCCCTGTCTTTGTCAAATATGAACTGCAAGCTCCTTTTTGATAGTCCAATACATTTCTGAATATGTACAACTCATGATTTCTAAGGTTAGAGGGATGTTGAAGACAGATTTAACTTTTATTTTTCCAGTGAAAGAAAACTTGCCATTTTCTAAATTATTTTCCCATCCCTCCTCACCGCATGTAGAGGGATAGGAGCGGAGGCTGCGTGAGGGACTTGCTCTAGGAAGTGGGTTCATTGCCCTCGGAGCGGCCTCATTGTCATCGTGCACCTGCTGCAGCTCTGCTCAGAGGCACACGTCCTGATGCACGGGACTCACTCAGGCGCCACTGGGTGTCTGTTCCTGCAGGGGCTTCAGCTTTTCCTCCTTTTGTTACGTAGGCTGGAAGTGGAGCCCTGCTGACAGGCCCTCTTTTGCTGAAACACATCAAGCTTTTGAAACCATGTTCCATGACTCCAGCATTTCCGAAGGTAAGAATCTGGTAGTTTATTGGTGGCTAGTTCTGGATAGTAATAATATTTCAAAAATGATGGGCTTTTGTAGCTTGGGACTCCATTTCAGGATATTGAATTAATTCTTGGCTTCATTCTTCTTGTTTTGCTTTTTTATTTTTTGCCTTTTTTAGTTTCTTGTGTTTCTATCATTTTTAATATTGAAAATTACTTTAATTGCAAATTAATACAGTCTCTTCATAAAGAAAGTAAAGTCAGTAGTTTTTTAAGCATTAACACTTATGTAGGGAAGAGAAAGGGGAAAAAATGAGTCTGAAAAATATTGCAACTCCTTGAATCATACCAGCAAAAGCAGAACCAAGTCATAAGAACAATATCCAGAAATTTTATTTCTAAAAATAGATCCCAAGGAAATAATTATGGATGTGAACACAGATTTAGCTACAAGAATATTCCATCAGAATATAGTTTATAATACTGAAAAATTAAGAACAATTTAAATATCTAGTGGGCTGTTAATTATCATATTCATGTAATTAAATATTTTAAATGATATTCTTGAATTGACATGGAGGGGAGTTTAGAATGAGCATATACTAAGTTATGCTGTGAACAGTGAGAACCCTTATAAAAACAACAGTATGGACACATATATAGGCAGTTTTCTACTTTTGTATATAATGCTTCTAAAATTGTCAGCAAAAGTCAAACAGTAAACTTGTTATAAAGAGAGACTTTTCCTAAAGAGCTAAAACCACAACATTCTTAGTTAGACTTCCCTATTAGACACTTTGATTTAGTTTCAGAATGTTATACTTATTTCTCAATTTTTTTTTTAATATATATTTTATTGATTTTACACAGAGAGGAATTGAGAGGGATAGAGAGTTAGAAACGTCGACAAGAGAGAAATATCGACCAGCTGCCTCTTGCACACCCCCTACTGGGGATGTGCCCGCAACCAAGGTATATTCCCTTGACCAGAATCGAACCCGGGACCTTAGTGGATAGTCCGCAGGCCGACACTCTATCCACTGAGCCAAACTGGTCTCGGCCTTATTTCTCAAATTTTTTATTTCCTTCATAATTGAACATAGGACTTACTGCTTAAGTTCAAGTTTTAAAATAGTAGAGGAAATCAGGCAAGTTGATTTTTGTCTGCTTTCCTCAGTGGTTTATCATATCTAGGTGAGAAGAAAGAGAAAAGTATAAGATCTAATGTAATAGTGTTTACATTCTAGTTCTTTGATGTATGGAATGTCTACAAGTTCGGGGGCCACAGCTGGCCCGCGGGCAGCTGCCTGTCACGAACTCTTCTCTTCTCCGTGTGCTTTTGTCCTTGATGTCACAGTGGTAAAAGCCATGAATTTCGGCCAAAGAGTAGGGTCCATTTCTTTGGTACTTTTAAAATAAATTTTATTGACTTTTCACAAAAAAGGGAGGGAGAGGGAGAGAGAGTCAGAAACATTGATGAGAAACATCAATCAGCCGCTTCCGGCACACCTCCCACTGGAGATGCACCTGCAATCAAGATCATGCCCCTGACCAGAGTCGAACTCAGGACCCCTGAGTCCACAGGTCCAACACTCTATCCACTGAGCCAAACCAGTCAGGGCTCTTTGGTACTTTAGTGTCAACTTTTAACCTCTGTTGAATCCGGAGTTAAATATTTCTGCTTCTCTTGAAAATGTTATATCCTTTTAGAAAATTGGCCCTTACCAATTTTTAAGGCTAATTTCAATTCACTACTGCTAAATAAGAAACTTAACATTATTCAACCCATAATTTGTTAAGCATTTAATCTGTGGCAAGGACTATACTAGATCTGAGGACACAGAGATAAGACACAGCTCCTACCTTTAAAGGATGTACTTATTAGTTGTAAGTAAAGGAACCCTAACTCAAACTTTAAGTAATAAGAGAAGAATTTATTGGCTTATAACCAGACCATGGGGAAACGCGGATGATGCTTTTTGAAGCCATGGACTCAAGCAGCTTCAGGTCTTCCTCCTTACCCCTTCCTCTTTCCCAAAGCCACTCCCACCCAACATCTCTTTACTTTATTTTATTTTTTATTTTATTGATTATTTACAGAGAGGAAGGGAGAGGGATAGAGAGTTAGAAACGTCGATGAGAGAGAATCATCGACCAGCTGCCTCCTGCACACTCCCCACTAGGGATGTGCCCACAACCAATGTACATGCCCTTGACCAGAATGGAACCTGGGACTTTTCAGTCCGCAGACCAACACTCAATCCACTGAGCCAAACCGGTTTTGGCAACATCTCTTTACTTTTGCTTCTATGTTGATCTCTTCCTCAAAATCCTCCAATTGGCTTTGGACACAGTTGTCAGCATCCTTGAAGTAATGTCTGTCTCCTAGCTATTTGTATAGCAGTGTAAGAACAAAATCTCATTGTATTGCCTTGTGTTATGTGCCATTTATTCACTCTTGTGAATAATTTTTAAAGATAATTACCAGCCCGGCCAGTGTGGTTCAGCAGCTGAGCATTGACCCAGGAATCTAGAAGTCATTGGTTTGATTTCTGGTCAGAGCACATGTGGGTTCAGTGCCCAATAGCAGGCAGCTGATAAGTGATATTTCTCTCTCATTGATGTTTCTCTCTATCCCTCCTCGTCCTCTCTCTCTAAAACTCAATAAAAACAGCCCTAGCTGGTTTGGCTCAGTGGATAGAGTGTCAGCCTGCAGACTAAAGGGTCCTAGTTTCAATTCTGGTCAAGGGCACATGCCTGGGTTGCGGGTTCGAGTCCCAATAGGGACATACAGAAGGCAGCCGATCAATGATTTTCATTATTAATGTTTCTTTCTCTCTCGCTTCCTTTACCTCTCTGAAATCAATTAAAATATATTAAGAAAATAAAATAAAACTCAACAAAAACGTATTTAAAAATAATTACCAAAAGATGTAAAATAATTACAAAATTTCACAATTTAATTGTTCCTACGGGCTTCATTTTTGTTTAGAAATGAATAGCAAATTATGTGTTTGCTTCAGCAAAAGCCACAGAAGCCATGGCCAGATTTAGTCAGCAAAGCTTATGTCTTTTTTTCAAGAGCCTCATTTGCATGAAAGGGAATGTACCTACCCTCCTATTTAGTACAAGTGCAACTGAAAAGTAAAGATATCTGTAGACATCTGTCTGCTTTGTTCAATTTCTGAGTAGGGACATAGTAAGCAAGGATAGCTAAATGACCAGTAAGCATATGAAGCCATGCTCAATATCATTCCTCATCAGAGAAGTAGAAAATAAAACAATGAAATCCTTCCACGTACCTACCCCAGAATGGCTAAAAGTAAAATCAAACAAGAAACCTGCCGGGACCGGTTTGGCTCAATGGATAGAGCGTCGGCTTGGGGACTGAAGGGTCCCGGATTCGATTCTGGTCAAGGGCATGTACCTTGGTAGCGGGCATATCCTCAGTAGGGGGTGTGCAAGAGGCAGCTGATCGATGACACTCTCTCATCGATATTTCTAACTCTCTCTCTCCCTTCATCCCTGTATAAAATAAAATTAAAATATATATATATAAAATTAAAATAAAATATATATAGAAACCTCATAACAAAATGGATGGCTATTCGGAGTAATCAGAATTTTATACGATGTTAGTGTGAGTGTAGATTGGTACAGGCATTTGGAGAGAGAGTTTGGCAGGAAAAAGCTGAATTTATATGCACCTCATGATCACGCATCATTCTTATGCAATTGTGAAGCAAAAGATGTATCAGAATGGTCCCTAGCAATATATTCATAATAGTCAAACACTGGAAACAAATAGGTGAATTTTGGTATATTCATTCTCACATTTGAACGATACACAGGAATGAGGAAAAACCGGCCACATGCAGCAATATGGATGAATCCACAGATGTAATGTTGAGCAAAAGAAGCCAAAAATAGAGTGCATCTCTGTGGTCCATTTAGATCTTAGTATTCTCCAGTTCTTCGCAGTCGTACGCCTTTTCTGAAAAGAACTGTGCTCTGTCATGAAGTTTTTTATCAGTCCCCTTTTCTTCCTCACAGAGGTAGCTGAGGAGCTTGGGAGGGCCGCCGCCGCCTCATCTGTTGTCCCCTACCTGCCCCGATTACCTATACTTCCCTCCAAGACGCGGACGCTGAAGAAGCAGGTGGAGAACAAGGAGAATATCGAAGGGTCCCTGGAAGCCACCGACAATTCTGCTTCCAGTTCAGCACCAGGTATGGGTCCCAGGGCAGGCAGAGTCAGGCTGCCTTGTTTAAAGAACCATGGGTTACGGTGCTTCTATTCACACTTCCCTGCCCGTCTTCCCCGAGGAAAGCATGGCTGGCACCCATTTTACCTGCCACGCTAGTCCTCAGCTCTGCATCACAGTGTTAGGAGTCCTCATCTATCCATCCCTTTAGCTCCAGATTCCCAAATGCTTAGCTTCTTTGCAGTTCTGGCAAACACTTCTTCAGTGAACCTTATTGAGGGCAGTGTGTATGGTAGCTTTTGGAGGAAAGGGGAAGGCCCAGGTAAACACCAGCAGGGTTTTCCTTTCCATTACATCCCATGTCACATGTGGATTACTGATTAACGTGAAGGGATAATGTATGTATTAGTCTCCTCTGAGTCCGCTATCGCCTGGCATTTAATAGATGTTGACAAAACTCTTACAGTTCAGCCTTAGTAACTCAGTGTAGCAGGGTGCCTCCTTGTCCTTCTCGTTACTGACTGGCCGTTTCTCATCAGGGTTCATTAGAAGTGCACAGGTCCCCAGTGGGTCCCCAGCACTGCCTCGAAAACAAAGAGACAAGTCACCCAGCAGCCTTTTGGAAGATGCTAAAGAGACGTGCTTCACCAGGGATAGGAAGGGAGGCTTCTTCAGCTCCTTCATGAAAAAGAGAAACGCTCCCACACCCCCCAAACGCAGCAGCTCCTTCCGAGAAATGGAGAACCAGCCCCACAAGAAATATGAACTCACGGGTAACTTCTCATCTGTTGCTTCTCTACAGCATGCTGATGGGTTCTCTTTCACTCCCGCCCAGCAAGAGGCGAATCTCGTGCCCCCCAAGTGCTATGGGGGGAGCTTTGCTCAGAGGAACCTCTGTAATGACGACGGTGGCGGGGGCGGGGGCACTGCGGGGGGCGGGTGGTCTGGCATCACAGGCTTCTTTACACCACGCTTAATCAAAAAGACACTGGGCTTACGAGCAGGTAAGCCCACAGCCAATGATGACACTTCCAAGCCTTTTCCAAGGTCAAACTCTACATCTTCCATGTCCTCAGGGCTTCCAGAGCAGGATAGGATGGCAATGACCCTTCCCAGGAACTGCCAGAGGTCCAGAATCCAGCTGGAAAGGACAGTGTCCACCTCTTCTCAGCCAGAAGAGAGTGTGGACACTGCCAGTGACACACTTCCCAAAAAGTCAGAGGAAGGTGCTGCTCCAACCAAGGAGAGACCAAAAGCCAAACTTTTGCCCAGAGGAACCACAGCTCTTCCCCTAAGAACCCCCTCTGGGGACCCAGCCCTTACAGAGAAGGACTGTCCAGGGGCGGGGGCAGCTGGAGTGGCAGCTGCCCCAAAGAGCAAGGAGAGGAATGGTGGGGCGCGCCCTGGCATGGCCGGAGTCCCGGAGGATGGCGAGCAGACAGGCTGGGCTTCTCCAGCCAAGGTTGCGGCCATCCTCCCCACCACTCACAACCACAAAGTGCCCGTCCTCATCTCCCCCACTCTGAAGCACACTCCGGCCGACGTGCAGCTCATCGGCACGGACTCCCAGGGGAACAAATTCAAGCTCCTATCTGAGCATCAGGTCACATCCTCTGGAGACAAAGACCGGCCCCGACGGGTAAAACCAAAGTGTGCCCCACCCCCACCGCCAGTGATGAGACTCCTGCAGCATCCGGCTGTGTGCTCAGACCCCGCGGAAGAGCCGGCGGCCCCGGCTGCCGGACAGCCCACGTCAGAAACACAGGAAGGAGGGAAAAAGGCAGCTCCGGGGGCAGGGCCCGTCAGCGGGAAAGCTGGGAGGCCTGTGGTGCCTCCACCTCAAGTGCCTCTGCCCACGTCTTCCATCTCGCCGGCCAAAATGGCCAACGGCACCGCAGGTACTAAAGTGGCTCTGAGAAAAACCAAGCAGGCAGCTGAGAAAATCTCCGCAGACAAGATCAGCAAGGAGGCCCTGCTGGAATGTGCCGACCTGCTGTCCAGTGCAATCTCGGAACCGGTGCCCAACAGCCAGCTGGTGGACACGGGGCACCAGCTGCTTGACTACTGCTCAGGCTACGTGGACTGCATCCCTCAGACTCGCAACAAGTTTGCCTTCCGAGAGGCCGTGAGCAAACTGGAACTCAGCCTGCAGGAGCTGCAGGTGTCTTCAGCCACTGCGGGCGTGCCCGGGGCAAATCCTGTCCTTAATAACTTACTGTCGTGCGTACAGGAAATCAGCGATGTGGTGCAGAGGTAGCCACTGGTAGACTACTGGAAGAGGCACATGTTTCTGAGGGGACAGGGGAAGGGACTTGTTTTCCTGTGTTCTTGTTTTCAAAAAATGAAAGACTGATACTTGAGTGTGTTTATGTGAAGTACCTCAGCTCTCTGAGATCTCACGTTTACAGGTTCATCTCAAAAATAACAAAACACAAAACTCATAGGAGAGGGAAATTGGAGGGGCTGGGCGGTGGTGGACAGGATTGGAAGCTGCACTGGAATATCAGGGAATGTGTACGTGGCTGTGAAGAACCAGATCCAGCCATTCTGACCTGGAGTGTTGCGAGGTGGTTAGACAGGGCTGCCCATGGCAGTGCCGTGAGACCGCCCAGACGGGCCTGGCTGCAGCACGCGGCTAAGCCGCACAGAGGAGACTGGCTGAGGGCTCTCGTAGGCACTAATGATGATGTCTCACCTCACCAGGGAAGTCAATGGAGCAGAAGAAAGGAGAGCTGGGAAGGTGCTAAGTGAAGTTTCATCCAAGGCTGTTGGAAGCAGCTATTATGCTTCCCCAAGGTCATTGCTGCAGTAAGAACTGCAAATGAAATTGCTGGAATTACAAAACCAGAAAGGTGGCCCTATCTGTTGCTCCTCTCCAATTTCCCATTGATGTGTTAATTGGAGCCGGAAGTAAAGAAATCTAGGAAGTACAGTCAGGGAGCTTGAAAGCTCCTAAAATCTCACGTTGATCAGCACAAGTCACTTGTCCCAGGCTAGTATGTTGTATCCTAAAGGACCAGGATTATAGGGGTCTCTTCTGGTTCCTCTCTGCCCCCTGCTGGGCAGGCCGTCTTCCTTTATTCCTGCAACATTCAGGCATTAGCCAACATTGATTTTGAAATTAGTGGTCTTGGACAGGTTCTCACAGGGAATCCTTTTCCGATACAGTGCCATGCATACTGACATACTAGTCAAGGACTTGGGAAGCTGTGTATTTCGTTACCAACTAAAATATCCAAGAAAGGGGCTCTCCTTGGAACCCAGCAGCCAGGCCCAGAGGCCTATGACTGAGGAGAAGCTGGTTTGGCCCTAGTGGCTGTTTCTCTGTACCTTTCCCTTCTTCACCTTAGATTGGTCTGTGTAGAAAGTAGAGAGAAGCACACACACCTCTGGATTTCAGATGGATCACCCTAAATTATTCTCACATGCCTTTCTCCCCGCCCCCCATCGTTGTGCTTGTTTGTAAAGATCACATTGGGAATATTCTTTGATATTTATTTCAGTAACATATTTTAAGAGTGTATAATTGAAGGAGCACATCATTTCTAGGAAAAACCAATTAGATCCTGGAAATCTAATGACTTAACCCTCAAATATATTTTGCCTTTGAAAACAGGCCTTTTCCTTCCCTACTCATTCATAACTATGGAAGCTAATTAGGATTGCAGGGAGCTGAACAGTAGATATTATAAATATTAATATCAGGTCTAACCCCAGTTACCACTTCATTCTGTTTTTAAAGCTTTGTGATTCCCTCCCCTAAGGAGAATCCAATACAAAAAAAATAAATTATTTTTTTCCTTCCAAAGGAATATTAACTTAGGAAGATAGGAATTCAGCATCGGTGAGCAGTGAATTTTCTTCCTGCCTCTGTCATCGATCCACTGTCAAGCCACAGCCCCATCTCTAAGTCTGTTAAATGAAGGTAATGATACATGTTCTCATGGGTGTTTCACAAATAAGGGTGTAGTTCTCCCTCTCAGAGCCTCCCTGCCATGCTAGTTAGTGCAGTGGTGGTATGTTGAGTGGTTTTCAGTCTCTCCTATGCTCAGTAGCCAGTCATGAAATTTAGAGCTGTTGAGATTACATTAATAGCGCTAGAATACTAATAGGGAAAAACTATGTTTTGGACAGAGTTTGATATCTTTGACCAACATTTAGTTTGATGACATTTAAGTTTTCATCAGAAAGAAAGGAAACCTTGGTTCTTATCATGGCTGCCGAAAGGAGGCCCCGGCCAAGGAAGGACTTGAAGGGAGGGGACAGCCTGGGCATTCCTCGCTAGGGGTAGTCTCGGTCTGATTCCTGAGGGGGCAGCATAGGCTGCTAGCGGTGGGCTCCGTCTCCTTGCAGCGGCTGGAAGAGAAGCTAGCGTTCCTTTCAATGTGGGTTTAAAAACCAGCAGTCCCGCTCCTATTTCCTTCCTGGCCACTTCCCTTCATCACACACTTCCATAAACTTGAAATTGTTTTAGCAAGTAGCCTTTTAAGGGTGGGGCAGGGAAAGCTAAAACTTTAGAATATTTAATGCTGCTTTTTAAGTTGATCCCTGTCATTATGGGATGCAAGTTGAGGGATTATAATTGTTTTTCAGGGGATTTTTTTTTTTTTCCCTAAGCAAGGGATCTTTCATCGAGAGCTCTGAGAATAGGCCTTGGAAGAACACTACTGAGTGTATTTAAGCTCCAGATTTCTCACCGAAATAGTCTTGAGGGTGGGGGCTGTGTGTTACTCAGGGGTGGCACCTGGCTCTGTCTTGCCTACAGTAGGTGCTCAGTAAGTTAATGAACTGCGTTTTCTCAACACTGTCAGTAGTAGCATTGACTTTTGCAGCACTCCCATCCACATGATGCTTGAACTGTGGAACTTCAGGATTGAGAGCTCAGGGTTAAGGTTAAAGAGGCACTGTCAACTTACAAAAGTCTAATAGAGGTCTTTCCTTTTTCTACTTGAAAAGAATTAAAAAATAACCTTAAGTAAATTTAAAAGTTTGAATTCAAAGCAGAGAAAACTGCTTTTTAGAAATTAAAAATGTAGTTTAATTGGTTAAAAAGCAAAGCAGAGAGCAGGAGCAAAAAGACAATGTTGAAAACTTTATAAAATGGTTATATATATTTGTGTGTGTGCGCGCGTGTGTGTATACACACACACACACACACACACACACACACACACACAATACTCCTTGGGGCTATGACAGTTTGAATCCCTTCATATACATATAATACAATTTCAGTTTAGATTTCCTACCTTAAAATACAATATTTTGTATAGAATACATCTTTATTGTGCTTTACATTAAGTATTTTCTTAAAAGACTTTGTGTAAAATTAAAATGTATTTTCTATTGATTGCCATTGTAATTTTCAGAGATACAGCCTTAAAAAAATGGCCCTAAGAAGTTCTTTCAGTGTTTTTTCAGATGACCTCTGAACATTGAGGTCTATACGTGGAGCCACTTGCTCAGCTGCATTTTGGGGTTTAAATTAGAATTTTCTTACAATTCAATTGAAAGTTGGCTAATAAAATAGTGCCCGGTTAATGAAATATGCTCTGCTAAGTCATAGCCCATATTTATTTAAGTAACGTCATGGAGCTTTTGAGTTGAGGATACAGTATAGACAGCGATTAAGAGCTCAGACTCTAAAGCCAGTCCAGAAGGCAAGTCATTTAATCGTGCTGAGCCTTAGTCATTTAATCCTTCCTCATTGGAAAACCAGGATAATGATAGTAACTACCTCAGGTTGTCATAAGGATTAAATGATAATATATGTAAGAAACTAGCTTCCCTGCCGGGCACATAATGAGCACTCCATAAATGTTAATGACCACTATTATGATTGATAAACTTGGTCCAGCAAATCTTAGCCAGGAATGTGCAACAAAACCTTCTGCGTTTAAAAACAAAATAAAATCTGATGCATTGATGAGAATTTCCAATGGGGTGAGGTCTCAGCCAGAGTGTTTTATAAGAACCCTGCCAGGTGTTTCCGACACCCAAGCTGTCTGAACACTTATCAGCATCCCACCTTTTTCTTTAGAGCTTAAGATTGGAAGGGAAGATAGTTAATTAGTGGCAGAGCTCACTCACTCTCTCGACTTTCTGGTTGTGGGGTCCCCCGCCATTCCTGCTGCCTTGTGAGACACTGCAGAGAAAGTGGCTCAGATAGACAATCAGTCTGCACAGCGCTGCACACTCTCTAAAGCACATGCTCCTGGCACCTCTGACCTTCAGGGGCTTGAATGTTGAGTAATGGCAATACTAGAAAAGCAGGCAATCTTCAGAAGTCAGGAATTTAAAAATCGGTATGGAGTCATTCTTTGGGACAGACCTCAGCAGCACAGCAATCTGCACTTTGTAATAAAGAAATACCAACAAGTTTAAACAAACCTAGCCCTACATTCCTCTTTCTTAAGAAAATAACAACATAAAAGTTTATTATTCTGTGCCATTTTGATGACTGAAATAATGTATATGAAAGCACTTTGAGGAAAAAGTATCAAATGTAAGATAACTATAAGGTCATATTATTAAGGTCTATTTAAAAGTTAAAGCAGTTGGTTTACATGCTGATCAACTTACAGGCTTTTTACCTTGTGGGACCTGAAAATGCAGGTTCTCTGTAACTTATGACATTTATAAATATGAAACTGCTAAATGACTATGTGCAGGCATAGTAAGTCTTTTACTGAAATTGTAGCTCAATATTGAATAACTTCAGAAAACTGGGGACCAACTTTCTGGTCTAATGATAATCATTAAAAAATAACACCGGGCACTCACAACACAGAAGCTCTTCCAGGCTCCCTGACTGAATACGGGGGCCCTGCTGCTTGTGAACATTTGTCACTACGTGTGCACTCATCTGGCATCCTAAACGTGGCGGCAGCAGGCACATTGCCAGTTGATGTTGACAGTGTCTTTTTTAACCTGTGTCCTGTGTGGGTTTTTTGTTACTGTTTTCTGCGGGGCAAAGGGTGGGATAGGAGATTGGATGGCTGTAGAACCAGAGCGTTTTAGGATTTCCTGTCAGTTATAAATGAGCGTGACATGCATAATCCATGTTTATTTTTTTCTAAGAAAAGTAGCTGAACGTAACTCACCTGTTAGATTATAAAATACTGTAAAAGAGGAAATTGCATTGGTGGCTACTTTGAGTGACAGCTGCACTGTCTCCTATATTCCCTTCCTTGTTTGCTACTGATGGTATCACTACTCTCAGGCTCTGCTTCCACAGGGATTCATGTTGGGCTGACA